CAACAGGTAGTTTGCTACAGAGCTGGGCATAAGACTGTGGGACTGGATTTGTGAGAGAGAAAGGAGAATCAAGTTGAAATTTCCTGCCTGCTTTGCGTACTTGATTCTCTGGCAGGCTTGCCTGGTGGGTTCCCAGGGAATGCCACTGGAGTTTGGAGCTGAGATAAAAGTGGTGAGTGGTGGTGATAGTGGTGAGGGAGATTTAAGGGGAAGATCTACACGATCCACTGGAGATGGGGGGCAGAGTGGGAAAGGAAGCCACAGTAGGTGTTCTGCTACAGAGCTGGGGATGAGACTGCAGGATTGGATTTGGAGGAGCTACCGACTTAGTAGCTTCTTGAACTATCTGACAAATTTAAAGTTGCCCCCGAACTTTCACTTTACTAATATATCTACCAAAATGATTTTTTTCACACCCATCCTGTTGAAAACTACTTGTAGTAACTTGAAGTTCTGGCTGTGTTTGTGGTGTAGCTTAGCTTGGAGTTTTACTTTATTTGAGGCAATGGAGTCCTGGAATAGTGAGTCTATAAACTGATGGGAGGCCACCCCCAGCACTATTCTTTTGTGTCAGATTCAGCTGCAGAGTCTCACTGATTCAGTGCAGCATGCAATGCTTAATTAGGTTATGACTGGTGACTAACATAGAGTATATAGTTACTGCCATCTTTGGGCCTAGGTAGATGGCCTCTGTTGGCTATGCCAGCATCTGATTTGGTTTTCCTCTTGTCTAGTTTTAAAATTAGGTTATTTGCGGCCATGTTCGTTCACTAGTTTGCTTCTGCTGTTGAGTCGAATGAGTTTCTTGTGCATTTTCTGCATTTACTCTTACTGGGTATATGGTTTACAAATCATTTTTTCCATTCTGTAGGTTGCCTTCTCTTAGGTTAATCATTCCCTTTTCTGTGCAAAAATGCTTTTCATAGTGTCACTGGTTTAGTTCAGCTTTCATGTCTGTGTCTGGGGTGTTGGGTCTGAAAATTATTGCCCAGGAACCTTTATTTTGTTTTCTAGTTTGTGACCTTATATTAAATCTTCATTCCATTTTGAATTGATTTTTGGGTATGATGTACAGTAAAAACCTAATTTCTTTACATATGAAGATCTTGTTATCACCAAATCACTGTGGTAGTTATTGTTGTCAACTTGACACAAGCTAGAGCTATCTGAGAAGAGGGAACCACCACTAAGAAAATGTTTCTATAAAATTGACCTGTGGGCCAGCCTGTGGGGCATTTTCTTGACTAATAATAGTTAAATATCTGAAGGCTCAGCTCACTGGGTTTGGTGTCATCCCTGGGCTGGTGGTCCTACTAAAAGACAGAAGTCTGAGAAACCCAGGGTGACCAACCCTGGGAGCAGCACTCTTCTATGGTTTCGACTTCAGTTTCATCCTCCTGTGACTTTTTTCAATGATAGACTGTGATGTGAACCTATAAGGTGAAATAAACCCTTTTCTTCCCAGTTTGCCTTTGGTCATGGTGTTTTATCACAAGCAATAGAAACTCTGAGACAATCACTTATCTGACAAAAATATCAATTCTTCCTGTATATCCTTGACATATTTTTGAGACTTGGTTGATTATGTAAGCTTGGGTTTGTGCCTAACTTTCTATTGTATTCCATGGTCCTAGAAACCAGGTTTCATTCCAGTACCACATTGAAATTATTATCTGTGATTTCTACATAATTTAAAGTCAAAAAAGATGATGCTTGCAGCTTTGTTCTAGGTCAAGATTACTTCAACTATTTGGATTTAGGTCTTTGACAAAGGATGAATGCCAATATGGTGGGGACTATTGGACTGCTGGAGCAACTTGACATGCCATATCAAAGCCAGAAACTTGAAACAGACCATACACCATTTGTAACATTTAATTCAAAGTGGAGATCAAGATGGAGCTGACCCAGAGCAATGGTCCCTGGTCAGCATGCTAGGCTGTGTGAAGGCCTGGCTGAAGCAAGTCTGGGATGGTGAGGAGAGCAACATTTTCTTTTGAGACAAAGTTTCACTATGGAACTCTGTCTCACTAAGAGTTCAGAATATAGTTGCCAAGGTGTGAAAATTCTTGCTTCAAAGAATGACACTTGCTTTGAAAGCCACACATTATCTATTATGAACAAGAAATCATTTTGGCAAATGATTTAAGAGTTAGTGATTGTACTCCATTAATTTTAAATTCAGATGAGCACTATGAGAATTTTTCAAATCTCTTTTCCCCTATAATTTTTTCTCATACAAGAATCTGCTCATAACACCCACTCCTCCAAAAGGAACAGAAATTCCAAGAGCTATTCTCCAGATCCTATCAAAACACAAGTCAAATCTGGCTTCTCCAGGAGCAGTTAAAGCAGAGCCAGCAAGGAATGGGTTCCTGAAGGCACCTGAGAGGCTGCTCTGGTGTGAGAAACATTACATTTCCTGGGGGCATGCAAACACACATACACATATGCACGTGTGCATATATGCATACACACTTGCATGAGCACACATATAAACACGCACACATGTACATATCCACATGCACACACGGACATGCATGTGTGTGCACACACACCCATGCACACATATGCACACATATACACAGATGCACATGCAAACACATGAATATGTACATGTGTGCACACACATGGACATGCACATGTGCACGTGTGTGGTGTGCACACACACACACACACACACACACACACACGCACTCACGCACGCGCACACACACACTCAGGCACCCTGACAGGTCTGAAAGATCTCCTTTCAGCAGCTTAGCAGACCTGTCCTCCCCTAGCAGCTGTTCACTGATTCTATAATGTTGGAAAGGGGCCTTGCTGAATCTTGAAAGTTTCCTCTCTCCTAGATATGTGAAGTTCATTTACCTCCTGACTCTCAAAGTTCAGAAGTTCAGTGAGGGATCCTCTCCCAAAGGGAATGAGACAGTGACAGAGCAGGACACCTAGCATCCTCTGCTGGCTTCTGCAGGTACACACCTGCACATATATGTACAGCTATATCATACATGAACACACACACACACACACACACACACACACACACACACACACACACACACAACACA